CATCTTCATCTTCATCTTCATCTTCATCTTCATCTTCATCTTCATCTCCATCTTCCTCTTCATCTTCATCTTCATATTCATATTCATATTCACCTTCGTCTTCATATTTATGTTTTCCTTTATCCTGATCTATATCTTCATTCTTTTCTCCATTTGTGGTAGATTAAGGTGTGGGGAGTTAAGATGTGGTGAGAAAGTTGGGGTGTGGTGAGTTAAGGTGTGGTGAATTAAAGTGTGGTGGATTTAGGTGTGGTGAATTAAGGTGTGGTGAATTTAGGTGTGGGGAGTGAAGTAGTGGTGGATTTAGGTGTGGGGAGTTAAGGTGTGGAGAATTTATGTGTAGCGAACTCAGGTGGAGTAAGTTTTTAAGCGGAGGTGAGATGAGTTGAGGTGAGTTAAGTTAAGTTAAGGGGTTAAGTTAAGATAAGTTATCTTTATCCTTATCTTCATATTCATCTTCATCTTCTTCCTCGTCTTGGTCTTCATCTTCTTCTTCATCTTTATCCTTTCCTTTATCCTGATCTAAATATGTCCATTCTTTTCTTCATTTACATATTCACCCCCACCATTGTTATTAGGTTAGGTATTTAAATTTTCCTTCCTCTTTGTCTTTATATTTAGGTTTCTTTACTTTTATTTTAATTTCTGTATTTATCCCTTTCTTCTTCTCCATACTCAAAATTATCTTCATCCTTGTTTGAGGCCAATCTATTCATGTACATACATACATACATCTTATTCCTAAACTGCTGCTTAGCACGTTTCTTTAATTCATTATCAATATTAAAGCATACATTTAGGTGGCATTTCTGCCCCAACCATGTACATGTATGGCATTGGTATTGGTGTGACTTTTGAATTGATTTTTTCGCTCTATTTTAAACTAATTTGAAATTTAAAAAATTGCCTGCACATCAGCATTAAAATACCTTTCTAATGATATATAATTGTTTATACCTTAGAAGTACAGTTTAGCCGTAAAAGGGGTGTAAAGGAAACATGATTGCCTATTTATATAATTGATGTAATTGTTTCAGTTTTGAAGTAATTTTTTAAAATTTTGCACACAACGGGTTTTCGATATTACCTTAATGATTCCTTAATATTATCACCTTAAAATATAGCTTCAATACAGCTAATTACTCTGTTATGTGTTTTGCGCTATAACTCTAACTTCATATCTGAATAATAAATTGTATGCCTGATATATTTTAAATTGAACATATACTACATTTTTATTTGCTTAACTGGAGGAGTTATAATGCAAAACAACGTCTCCGAACAATCGGTTGTATGGGAGCTAGGTACTATAAGCGAACCGATTTCGATGATTTTAAAATACAGTGAAATCTAATCGCGTTTAAAATTTTAGTAAAATGTCTTCAAAACGGAGGGCTTTTTTATATAAAATAGTTAAAATTTAAGCAAAGCTTCAAGCACCGCTCTCTCCAAAAGTGAAGCCACTCGGGCAAAACTGAGGGCGCCATTGAATTTATAAGGCTCCAATTAAGTAAGAGCAACTATCAGAACATTTGTCGAAAAAAATTTAATTTGATACCACGCTCGAAATATTCAGGATATCAGGGTTTTTACACACTTCTGGAGAAAATTTTTTTGAAGCATTTTACAGGTATATGTAACGTTATAAGGACTAGTAGTTACAAAAATATTTAGATTGTTTCGACGTATTTTCCAAATGTGGCTTCAGTTTAGATGTTTTTGGAATAAAAATTACGCTCAAGATCGCAGAATCACACCTCTTGCTAAGGTATCAACTTATTCGTAATTGATTGTAAAATACAATACATACTTAAAAAGTTTTTAAAATGAAATGCTTCAAAACCTACACGCGATAAACCGAAAATTTTGAAAATTGTAAAAAGTAGTGTTTCACCCATTTCGTTACTTGCCATTTAGTTACTTTTCAAAGCACATTTTAGTTATTAACTGCATATGAACTGTAGACATAAGTACTAAATAATTGCACATAAAATATCAGACCAGTATATGGTGTGCTTCTAAAGTTACGACATAAGTAACTTTTGCCCTCATAAAAATTACACAAAAAATTCACTTGTTTTGAATATTTTTTGAATGAACATTAGGGTGGTCCAAAAAAGTAAAGTCGGAAATTTAATGATCTCACCCCCTAGGATTGTTCTATAGCGAAAAAAAATATACCCCTGTTTTTTTATTTTAAAATCAAAATATATTTAGAGGTCGCTCAAATCGCCCAAAGTTTCCCATGTATTTTGTATGGGGAAAAAAGACTTTTCGTAGAAATGGCATAAAATACATGGAAATCAAAATTTTTCAATCTGAAAACTCTGCTTCTCTTCAGAAGACTTCAGAGAATAATGCCCAATTGGTTATTTAAACATTTTTTAATTTTAACTATTTTTTAAGGATCTCCGAAATATCCCAAAAAAATCAAAAATACAAACAGAAATATAAAAAAGAAAAAAAGAAAAAATAGTTTAAATTAAAAAACGTTCAAATAAACAACTGGGCAGAGTTTTCAGATTGAAAAATTTTGATTTCCATGTATTCTATGCCATTTCTACGAAAAGTCT